TAATACGATTTCCCTTGTCTGTTTTGTGATATGGTATTATTCAGGTGCCATTTTAATAGCTGTATCTAGACTGAAAGATGCCTCAAATACATACATACAAAACAGCTATAATGCGTTAAATACAAGGCACCTTCAGTTGAAGATTTGCTCCGATTTCAGATTTCAGATTTCAGTTTTTTTCCTCCGATTTCGAACCTTGGAGATGGCTAGATACAGTGCACCAGCAGGAAGGGAAGAATCGTGTTCTTGAACTGGGTAAAATCTGCGTGTAACTAGACTGAATGTTAGGCTAGATACAGTGCTTGGGTTTTCGAGTCTGCGACCTTTCGTAGGCTGAAGAGTAACTCTGGGTCCAGTGGTTGGGCGGGACTTTGACTAGAGTGTGTGTGACTACCGTCGTCTTCCCCCGAACATAACGCACCCTAAAAATGAATGTATACAAGCTATATTTCCGCCCATATACAGCCAAAATAAGGACTACAGTCAGATAGTTTACTGGTTGGAGAGCTTTCGTAGTCTATCTATGTTTCAATCGACAAATAAAATCTCAGTTGAAATTCACAACAAGTATTACCGTCTTCCCCCGAACATAACGCACCCTGAAAATGAACGTATACAAGATATGTTTCGGGCCCGATACAGGCAAAATGAGGGTGCGTTGTATTCGAGAGAAGACGGTAGTCGGGACACAGCAAACCGCTGATCTTAACCACAGAGGTCTCTTAGTCTTGATCTTTCGGTGTCAGCTTGGTAAAACTACAGTCTTCCCCCGAATACAACGTACGGTCATTATAGCTGAATTTAGACTGAAAGATGCACCAAATTCAGCTATAATGACCGTACGTTGTATTCGGGGGAAGACTGTAGGCCCTGTGGTTAAGATCAGAGGTTTGCTGTGGTAAAAAAGGACATGAAAAGAAAAAAAAAGGACATGAGTGTAATTTGGTAGTGAGCAAGGTCTGTTAAGCTAAACCGGCTGATGGTGCCGGGATAACTAACTCCGGGTGGATTTGTGAGGTCCCCGGCCTCCTCCTGTTTGGATGGTAATAAAATGGTTTGTTTAAAAAAAAAAAAAAAAAAAAAAAAAAAAGAAGGGGACTAGGCCATGGAGGTTGACGACGTTTTGGAAGTATAAAAGGCCCTCCTTGCGGACATAGTATTTCTCCTTTCTTTGGGACGACGGCACTTTTTTTTTTTTTTTTTTTTTCCTCTTATCAGCTGTATCTAGTCTGAAAGTTGGCACAAATACAGACAGATATGCTGACCGTGCCAGTGTCAGGTCAATCATTTGCCTTTTTTGGTTCTCTCTCTTCTTAACTTGAATGATAAATAGAGTTCTGTGAGATGAACTCAACATACAGTCGGCGTTATTACCGAGGCGAACACACACAGTACACGTCGTCAACATCAAACGAATTATAACTTGAAAGCATTAAGCAAAAGTTAACGCTAAAAAAAAAGCATTAAGCAAAAGTTAACGCTAACAAAAAAGCATTAAGGAAAAGTTAACGCTAAAAAAAAAGCATTAACCAAAAGTTAACGCAAAAAAAAAAGCATTAAGCAAAAGTTAACGCTTAAAAAAAAGCATTAAGCAAAAGTTAACGCAAAAAAAAAAGCATTAATTCGATTCAGGAACGGCGGCCCCGACGCCGCGTTTCGTCGACAGCCACGTTGCCTTCATCAGGGGGTGTCCACCTACTTCTCCCTCTCACACTCCCTCTAACATAGGACCACCTTCCTTCGTTCCCACTTCCGTACCGTAGGGTAGGTTACAAACAGGCCGAAATGACTGTAGCTTCAGGTCACCTACTTCTCTTCTTAGCCATCGATTTATCAAACCCTTTTTTCTCTTAAAAAAGAAGAAAAAAAAAGATTTATCGAACCCCTACTTTGTCCTACCGTGTAGCAGAAGCTGATTGATTGATTGGGATCCCGTCCTGATTACCTCTGTTTTGCTCTTCTCTTCTCAGCCGTCGATTTTGTATCTCGCAATCTTCTTCTCAGCCGTCGATTTTTTTTGATTTTTTTTTTTGCTTTCGTTGAATCTACTTCGCAGCCATCGTTTTTTTGTTTTTTTGTTGGTTGTCGAATCTTACTTCGCGGGCATCAGTTTTTGTTTTTTTGTTGTCGTCCAACCTACTTCATAGCCATCGTTTCTGTTTTTTGGTCGTCGAATCTACTTCGCGGCCATCGAGATATATTACAGTGTAATCAGTGAGGGGATTCTGCAGACTGTTGAGGGTTCAGCCTCCTGATGAGTCGGTAAAACTCCGACGAAACAGTTTGTCACAGCCCCTCGTTTGTTGTCGTCTTCTCTCTCTCTGCCTACGGTTGTGACAATATATATATATGTATAGATTTTCATGTGACGATATATATATATATATATATATATCGTATATATATATATATATATATCTCCCTCTCTGCCTACGGTTTACCGGGCAGTTCTATTTGACGATATATATATATATATATATATATATATATATATGAAACTCCGACGAAACAGTTTGTCACAGCCCCTCGTTTGTTGTCCTCTTCTCTCTCTCTGCCTGCGGTTTACCGGGCAGTTCTGTTTGTGACGATATATAGGGGTAACCGGCGTTCGGGACGGGCCGAACGCCCGAACCCGAACGCCTGAACGTATGGGACCCCTTGGGGATGCGTGCGGCCGTTCGGGCCGAACGCGGACCCAAAAAAAAAAGAAAAAAAGAAAAGAAGTCGTCAAAAAAATCTGAAAAAATGATATGTTATGGAGAAAAATAAATTAAACCAGATCTGCCTGAGCATTACATCCGAATTCCTTACCAAATTTGAAATAAAAATAAAATACGGAAAACAAATACAAATAATAAAAATAAATAAAAATAAAAAGAGAATTAAATTTAACACCGCCATTTTTGGCGATTTTTCATTTTTAAAAGGGCCTTTACCCGATATAGGCCTCAGGCCTTGTAAAAATAAAGCAGCACGGGCCTTGAAAAAGTAAAGCATTGTGAAAAGGTATCTCGTCAGAGCTCAGAAACGTGAAAGCAGGTCAAAGGTCAAGTTCTCTATCAACAGGCATATTTAAAACTAAGGCAAAGGGCATTGTCAAAAGACTTACCTGTTCACCAGAAGATGTGTATGTCATGTCTGTTTGGGTAAGGGTGTGTCTGTACGTGCAGGCAGTG